TGAGCTTGTTGACCCAAGCAATGGGCTCCCCAAACCAAATGGCTGGCATCTGTTGTCACATTCACCGCAGCAGGTGGTTGGAGCAGCACACCTTGTGCTAAGTTCTTCGTTCTCAACCACCATCTCAGGGACTGAGCAATCAAAGCGGGGATGAGAATACCTTGTTTTAGGGAATGGTGGTCCCACTGCTGCAGATAGTTGAATTGAAAGTCTTCTATGCCATCTTGCCCACGGGGCTACTGGAATTCTTGAGGACAACTGACCTAGGTACTGCATACATTCCTTTGCTGATAAGATTTTCTGCCTCATTACAGCTCTCGTCAAACTCTGGATCTCTGAATTCTTCCTCAGAGGAAGAAATACCCGACCCAGGTCGCTCTTGAAGAGGACACCCAGATATTCCAGGTTCTGAAAAGGTTCAAGATGGCTTTTACGAATGTTGACTATTCAGCCAAACTGCTTGAGGGTTTTGCAAGTTAGGGAAACGTGCTTCTCCACTTCCCATTTTGTGCCTCCTAAAATGAGACTATCGTTCAAATAATGGAAGATCTTAACACCCTTGTTCCTAAACAGTGCGATAACTACTGACAATCTTTGGACTGTGTACAGCTCCAAGAACATTTTCAAAGGCAGGCACCGAACTGAAAATGAGCGCCCCTGACGGCAAATCTTAAAAAGCGATGGTGACTTGGGTCCACGGGTACATGAAGATACGCATCTGCCAAGTCTACCGATGCCATCCAATCATTGTTTCTTACTATTGTGATAATCTTGTCCACTGATTCCATCCTGAAAGCTGGAGGTTTTAGGAAGGAATTCAGGAATTTGAGATCTAATACTGGTCTGAACTCGCCTGATGCCTTTGGTCTAAGAAATAAGGGGGCGTATACCCCCATACTTCTCTCCCAAGCCGGTACTGGAACAATAGCTTTGGCAGCCAACAATTCTTTTACGTAATTGTACAGATAAGCAGCCTTTTCCTGGGAAGAGATGATTCTGGTTTCCACAAAATGAACCTGCGGAGGTTTGCTGGAAAATTCAATCTGATACCCTCTTTGAATAACACCCGAAACCCATTCGTCCGTCACCGATTAGGTCCAAACATGTCTGAAATGGGCCAATCTTCCCCCTACCTGAGATGTTTGATGTGGCGAACCTTCAGAAGCTCTTCTCTGTGGGCTTGGCATTCTGCCCTGCGTCTGACTTGGGTCCCTTAGTGAAGGACTGACCGGACCTCCAGGAGAGTCTGAAATACTCCTATCCAGGTCTGTCTCTTCAACAAGTGTCTGGAGCGAGGACGAAAAACGAACACCTGAGTGGGGGATTCGCTCTGATTTATGGGATAGTTATGGGTTGTCCTGGAGGGTCGGGAGGGCGGAGCTGACCCGTAGTAGGCGGACGTGAGGAGGCCCAGGAAATATATATATAAACAAACTTCAAGAGTAGCACATTTCTTGTTTGTATCAAGCATATGGTACCTTTTTTATGCTTTTTTGACACTGCCCTATTGACACAACCTGAAACCTTAAGAAAAAGCTGACAAAGCCTCTTTATTAATACCTTTTAGAATTCAAAAAGTAACTAAATTCTGTCTTTTTATCCTGCTGCTATTCACGAATTTCACTATTACAGTACATGTATCCTGTGCTACTTGCACTGCAATAGTCACTCATGCAAAATAATTCAGTTCAGTACTGTAATATGATTAACATAATGGAGAAGTACAGGCTAATTCCAACATAATCATATTTCTGACAAAAGAAGTTATTACTATATTGGATTGTTGTATAACAGAACGGTCACGCAAAATGGATAGAAATGGCACAGCAATTAACAACAGCTTTAGATCACAACATAATAACCTCTAATGGGAGAATAGTTAAATCTTCAGAATATGAAAAAAAATAAATAAATAATATCACACACGAGTTTGGATAATTACAGCCTAAACTCCATGTTTACTTTCACTTTAAAATAGTTTGTTTGGGTCCAAATATTTCCTTTACCAACAGATGCACCAGCTGTTAGCACTGTTTGTTCCCTGTACTGCTATCAGAACACAGCTGATGTTGCATACAGTTTAATCTGCTTCTGAAAAAAAGAAAGAAAGTAGAAGAAAGAGAAAGAAGAAGAAGGTCGAACTGAGGGCTGCTCAGCCATTGAAAGGAAGCCTAGTATTTTTTTTTTTTCTTTCAGTGAATACAAGGCTTCCTCTGGTTGGCTGGGTTGGAGTTCATAACACCATCTGCCCACCTCTCCACATTAGCCAAATCAGAGGAAGATCTGTATTCATTGATAAAGTACAAGGCTTCCTGTGAATGGATGAACAGTGCTCAGCCTGACTCAATTTTGTTCTGGCAGCAGATGTGAAAAAGTCCCTGTACAGCTACTGAACACAGCACACTATACTGTATGTAGCTAATGCTACATATTGTTTATACCGCCCTGACAGCAAGCACATTACTTAGCAAAGGAAATAGTTTGGGCCAATGAAAGTAAAATATAGTTCAGCTTCAAAGTGTATATCCAACCTCAAACTTTCTAGTTTTAAATAGGGTGGTAAATGATTGGAACTCTTTTGGGGTTTTACTGCTATCCAGGACTTCTTTATAGCGATGTACTCCAACTTCCGGTCCTGCTGACAACAGTCTACCTGCTGTCACCAGACAGGAAGTAACACAACATCTGTACCAGAGGCATAGATGGAAATACAAATCTGACAGGGGTTCTAACTCATCTCTACGGTACTAAAAGAAAAACCATTTATTTCTGCCTGTGTTGCTGTAGAGTTACACATTTGGTAGACAATGGTCAGCAGGCCCTGAAGGATGGAAAAACTTGTCAACAGAAACCAAGACAGCATTAAAAAGATGAAAACAAAACAAAACAAAAAAAAAACAAAAACACCACAGTGGTACACACAGGAAGCACCAGACTAGCTTGACGGTTTGTTAAATATATATCCTAAAGTTGTAAATGGTTAAATATATATAAAATGTAAAACATGCATCAGCCATAGCATTAGTCAGTCCAGAATGTTTAGCTATAGCCACTCACAAACACCGAGTTTGTAGCCTCCAAGCTGTCCAACCAATTTATGTGCCGGATTTTTTTTTTTGCAGTTGTTGTAAACTCTACAACAGTGTTCTAAAATGTAACATATAAAAAATAATCTTTGTATAGAATTTCTGATGGATAGCAAAATAAAGATTATCCAGTATAGCAGCTAGCAATGTAATACTCTGTTAACAAGAAGTGACCTTATGTTGCGGGTCTTCCCAAGAGTCAGTGTACACAGGTCATTTCTGTGTGTGTTGTACAGTGAGCAGTTCTCTGGAGATTTGCTGTGTTCCATTATCTCTGTGATGCTCGGAGAACCGTGCTAGTGGAACACAGATGTTCAGAAAGCTCACATGTACACATGCCCTTATGGGGTCAGATCTACAAGTCCATGGTACATTCCCTTACCTCTTAGAGACTCTGTATTGTGCTGTGACCAGTTCTCCTGTCAGAGGGTCATGCACTGTAGCCCGTCTCAGCTACAAAAAGAGAAAGGACTGGGGTTTAATTTGGGAGCAGGCAATCTGAATGCCATGCCAGTGGTTCTGATTGGTTGGATAAATTTAATCTTATGTAAGGAACCATGTCTTGATGAATGCAGAGAATAAAAAAAAAAAGAAAAAAAAAAAAAAAAAAAAAAAAATTTGATGAGGACCATAGAACATTATCCTTTCACTTTTTATTGGAGACACAAGCAGAGTGATCGCTTCATGGTGCAGAGTTTTTACAAATCCATTAAGGTTCTGACATGCCTTTTTCATTTCAGAGGTTCAAAATGACATCATTTCAGTTATGTAAAAGGTAATAAAACAGCTGATAATTAAATGGTTAAAACTTCACTTCGCAGATAAATGTAATTACAAGTTAACAAAGATAAAACTAAAAAAAAGGGATGGGATACATTTAGCATTGAATAGATAAATGCGTAAAAAAAAAGAAGAAATATCAACAACAACACACACACTAGGCATTCTGGAGAGCACTTACTGAAATACCCAAATTTTCTCTTAAATCAAATCTTTTATGATACAATGTGGCCTTCTGATAATGTCCTCTTTATTGGTACATACCGTTGATTCTCATTATAAATCAGACTGTTAAGTGACCAGCAGTCCCATTCATAACACTACTGAGAGGTCAGCAGGTTTACAGGTATCCAATTTATGGGTGTTTAAAAAGAAGAGTTGCACTACACTTGTGAGAAATTTGTTTATTTATTCTGTTGAATTTATTATTTTTTCATTTCACATTAGAGGAATTATTTGGTTGAACTTATAATTATTTTAAATTTTTGTGTATACTTAGAATTTGAAAATAGATTTTCTGAGATTAGTGCTGCGAATTTTATATTTATGTTCATTTTTTATCACAAATTTGTATCAGCTACTTATAAATTTTTAACCCGAGTGTGGTAGCCGACTTGTCTTTTTTGTTCCAGCAATATATGGGGGAGTTTACTAAACAGGAGCATACAAATTAGTTAAAGACAGCTCACTTGACCAGTCCTTTACAAGTGTTGCACCTACAACAACCAACCAGAATGTGTTGTAGTTTTATTTTAACAAAGGGAATTATAGATATGCACTTAAGAATTAGCACTTTACTGAATATAAGTACTATGTCTAGTAACTTTGAATAAAATAAGTCCATACGCATTGCAAACAAGTCATTTTATCAATAGCACTTGCTTAAATGCAGAAAAAAAAAAATATAATAATAATAATAATAATAATAATAATGCATAGCATGTCTAGGAAAACCAGCAAGCATTTGAAAAACATCTGCACAACAAAAAGGAAAGGATCACTCTGCACCAAACGCAACATTCAGTTATAAACAGAGGTGTCAGGAAAGCCATCCTGTTACCTCAGTTTCCAGATAGTTACCCTTTGCCCCTTTGCAATGCATTACAGAAAAGATTAGGAATATTTTAGTCTTACCTTTTTACTAATTCTGTAGTGTGCGGTCTCCAGCACTCCTGTGATAGGGTTTGAAATGGTGGCTCGCCTCAGCTGTGAAGCCAACCAATCACAAGAGTTGTAACAAACATAAGCTAGCATTCACCCAACCAATCAGATGTCCACTGTACACAGTATACATACAGTAATGTGAACATTGAGAAAAAGGTTATGCAAATATGGCTGTTGGCTAGTCAGTCTCAGACACGTCAAATAAAAACCTATTCCATAAAACTGGTTCACACTGCCAGCTAGCCCGTATGCGGTATGATTTATCTGCCAATGTGCAACAACTATAAATAATAGTCATTTTTGAAGGTCTCATACTAAAAGAATATACAATACATTCTACTTTCTCCCTTTTATATAGTCAAAACCACAAATCTATACACATTAAAAAGGCAAAAAAAAAAAAATCTGGTCCTTTTTTATTATTTTAGAATACTTGCTTGTACATTTAGAATGTTTAGTGCACGGTTTGTTGTACAGTATATATTTCTAAATGTCTGACTAAAATAAATTTTGTACTTACTGTAAACCCTTTTCTTACATTCCACTGAGGGACAAGTAGTTCAAACAGAGTCAGGTTATACTGCCACTTACAGGAGGAATGAACACAGGCAAACAGAAATATTGTAGGTCAGCCTCCTTATAACTTGCTCTCTACAAAGTGTGCCTTGGTTTTGTGGTAAAGTAGTACCAAGAACATGAAACAGAAACAGGAGTGAGACCCATGTACGCCAATTTAGATAAAAGTTGGGACATCCAAAAGCAGTTCAATCGAGGGGTGAACAAAAGAGCAACTACTTACAGGACCCACAAGGAGGGTTGCGGACTGTCTACAGCCCAGAAGCTGCCTGCTGGCCTAACACCTGAATCAGATGAGGTGGGCCCCTTACTAGATAGGGGAAACTGCCAAACACAACCAAAGGGAGGGTGCGTAGAATCACTTTAATGTTGAAAACCAGAACAGAAAAAAGGTCACAACCAGAAGAGGATGGCTCCAAATGAAAGGAACACTGAACCTAGAAACTGAAGAAAGCGGATAAAAACCAGGACCCACCAAAACAGGAGGAACAATAAACTCCAAGGGCTCGTTTACACTAGCTTCAAAAACATGGCCTTGGACATGCTTTTTTTAAAAGCACTCTGAATGCCAGTCAAAGCACCTGTCACTAAATGAAATGGTTAGCTTACAGTCCTGTTTACACATTGCATTTGCTTCAAATATTATACCCCATGCCGCTTTAGTGGTGCTTCAAAGCATCTTCAAAGCCTCCATAGAAAAAAAGTCTATGATAAAGCTCACTTACAGCACCTGCAGCTTTTGAGAGGCTTTTATTCAGCTTTAGCTTCGCTTTATTTGGAAGCATTGTAGGTATGAGATAAATACTTACAGGGCATCTGCCAAGCTTCATTAAAGCTCCAAAAAAGCATCACTGAAGCACCATTCAAGAATCATTAAAGCATCATAGAATCATCGTAGAAGCATGTAAGACATCAAAAAAGCATGCTAAAGCATAGACGCTTTAATGTGTGTTGAAGTCGAAGCAAGTGTAAAAGAACAAAAAAAACACACACACACACACACACACACACGATAATCAAGTGATACCAGAAGGTTTTACAGTATCAGCACAAAATAGCACACAGGCGACTGGTGAGGCAGGTAGAAAAGTTAAGGGTTCAATCCCACCAAGTGAACATGACTTAAGGGGAAAGGTGCATGGGAGGCCCCCACAAGGGTAGGAAGGAATGAGGAAATAGACCACACTCTCAGACTGGTGAGATAGGAATCAAAGGAGACTGAGGGAGAAACTGAAAACAGCGCCACTAACAACCAAAGGCATCCCTGGGGCCTAGCAGATCAAGTCTGTGGAGCCTGCCTAACCTTCACCACAATTCGTAGATCTAAAAAGCTTCTGTCTTCAAAAGTGGCAACAGTCATGAAGAGGGGGGACAGAAATCTTAGCAGACTCACCATAAGCATTTACCTAATATAGAAATAGAACAAGGAAAGGTATCCACCAGAACATGCTTAAGGGACTGCAGCTTAGCCACAGAACAAGGACCCATTTTCAAGTGAACCAGGCTTATGAAGTTTCCTGGATGTGAAATACCCCCATAGGGGATACATTCAACACAAAGCTAGTGTACACCACCTGCTGACAGGTGCACTTTCAGTCTGAGGACAAGGGACCTAGTGATACAGAGGATGCAGCCAATACTGGACCTTGGCAAAACCTTATCTGGCCAGATCTTGCAGGTGTTAAGCATCCCACAATGTCCAAAGTAGAAGGTGTGTCCAAGTAACCCCAAAGAATCCAGGTCCTTCTCAAACAAGGGAAAAGTCTGATGTAAGGGTTCAGGACGGTCAGAAGGTCTCTGTAGCAGATTATGCTGGAGCAGGATTAGAGCCTCTGCAGCCAATGTCCTAACCAGTTGAGCCCAGGTGTCCAAAAAAACCCGGAGCGGACACTGAAGTCCCTAAGGAATGCCTCTGCCTCACATAGAGCTGCAGAAGACCGATAATGCAGGCACTAATACTACAAGGCCAGTTGGTTCTATTGCAGGAGCCAGTTCCCTGTTCAGCCAGAAAACACGCATTAAAACGCTTGTAAAAACACTCATATCATGTGTTTTAAAGCTTTTCAATTGAAGTCTATGGGGGCAAAAACACTATATGCCTGAAAAGAACTCCAGGTAGTTTACGAGCTACATAAAATGATCAGGTGTGAATGGGTCCTAAAGGAAGGGTTAATTGGCTCCCAATTTTCCTGTTTGCCAGTGTCCAATTCTCCTGTAGGTGCAAGTACATGGCAACTATATGACTTCCTGTGACCCTCAGTAGACAAGAAAAAAAAAAAATAGACAAAGAAGCCTTTTGTTTGTGGAGTTCTACAGCTATAATCTAAGTAATTGAAGTTCCATATTTTTAAGTGCATGAACAGTATATGTATGTATGGTTCTACTGGAGACATTTCCTGCCCTACAGACATAACAGACGTAAGAGGAAAACCCTTCTTAAAACAGGTGTCACCCGAATAAGTGTTCATATTGTATGCTCTGAGATAAATGGAGATTGTAAACCTACCCATCGGGGACAGAGCCAGCTATAATTACTGTATATGTATGGTGGTTAAGAAATGCTTACCGACTCCACATCAACACTAGAAAAGTTTTGGCTTTACATACGTAATTAAATGCCTGCCTGTGAAATACAGTACACTGTAGACATCTTCCAAAATATGCAGTAAGCCACAATAAATAGTGTTGAGTAAAGTGAAATCTGCTCATTGTATGGTTTACTGGATAAGCCTGTTGGCGGCCCACCATAGAAAAAAAGAATAGGGGAAAAAAAAAAAAAAAAGAAGGTGTATGTCCCAAACTACAGCATCCTATCCTTAACTCAATGGTTTATGATTGGTTGTTCTGAGTTTTTACAATATTAACCTTTAAAAAGAAATGCATGAAAACCGTTACTGACCCTAGGTTTTGCAATCTCTTTGACTTTTGCAATCTCCTCATCAGAAATGATATCATGGTAGCGCACAATGCGAGGTCTATCCCATTCATCTTCCTGCTTTGCAGGAGACAAAATGAAATTAGGACTCCTGTTTCCATCATAATAGCGGCAGAAAAGTTTCTTTTGTCTGCGAGGAGTCTGTGGAAGAAAAAAAAAAAAAAAAAAAAAAAAAAAGTAAAAATAAAAAATGTAGGAATGCCAGTGTACTTTTAGAATTAAAAAGACCCTACTAAAACAGGACATTTTTAGTTACTACAGACATCAGGCACAATGAGAGATAACATCAAGAGAAACAAAATGCCATCCAAATTGTATTTGCTGCGGTCTCCTTCCTGAATGTCTTAGTGGTCAATTTATTCTCCTGTATTGATATCAAAAGGCCAAGAAATGAGATTACTTTACTATCTACTGTATAGGTTAATTTTATATTCCTATCATTATGGTTCACATTCACAAGAAAACTCTCCAATTGCCCCATGTCACCATCCCAAATAACCAGGACGTCATCAATGTATCTCAGCCGTTTCACCACGTGTTGGTTAAAGGGAATGGATGTGTACACCAAATCTTCCTCCCACAGGCCCAAATGAAGACAGGCATAGGCTGGAGCCCACGGTGCTCCCATCGATGTACCGCAGATTTGTTGGTAAAAGGCTCCTAGAAACTGAAATCTAGTGTGCCTTTTCCATTTATTTGAGATAACCTCCTCACTGGTCTCCTCTGTAATGATTCCTTCATCCAGAAGACTATCTCAAATAAATGGAAAAGGCGCACTAGATTGAAGACTCCCTCTAAAAGGATGCCTAATATCCGTGAAAATTACGCGTCAACGTAATGACATCACGCTCGGCGTCTTCATAGGGTGCGGTGTCCACAAGGGGAGAAGCAGCAAAAAAATGCAGCTCCATCTTGGATAAGCATGAGGCAATACAGAATATGACGAGGCAACCGTTCTAAGGAGTCTTTTTGGCGATTTAAGAGACACAGCTCACTTCCACCGGTGGCAAGTAATAGTCTGTTTTGGCTGAGTCACTTTAGACCACAATTTTTTTATGGGAATTATATCCCGAACGCTGGTTGTTTTGCCTAAAGCCCTAGTCTGAGGGACATTTTTGGACTCTAGCTGGCATATAATATATACTATGTTTTAAACGGTTAGTGAAACGGGACGTATGTCTCCTATACACCTATAGGAACCGCACTAATTCTCTAATAAGAGCAATTTTTGGAAACCCTAATAGGGTATTTATATTATGGTATATTGATGCCTGCATGATTTTTTGGACTACCCAAATATACTATCCTGGATTTTCACAATATAGGGTATTTTTTCACATTTTCAGTGAGAAGGAATTTTTTCTGACCTCTTCTATGGTAATTCACATTACTTTATTTCATTACATATATTCCAGTATCTCTGATATCCTATTCACCATTCACTTTTAGAATCCTTTATTACTGTGGATTCATTTCCAACTGGGGTGCTTATCCAGGAAGGTTTCACATCTATTACATATTCATGATGGCACAGCCAATAAGAAGGTAAAGGAGAGCTATACATGGCTATTTGAGTATGTGCATCCTTTTAGGTGAATGGAAAATGACTATCCCTTGTTTCCTCTGCATTCATAATTTTTCCATGATTTATCCCTAGGAGTTCATCCAGTTTCATTGTGTGTTTCATGAAGGAACATTCCAAGAAGAATTTTTCTTCACTAGGATGTTATATATGGAACTCTATTGCTGATGAATACAGAAAGGAAACTATTGTCTCATATGGACTAATTCTTGCCCATACAGCAGTTTTTGAAGACGCCGAATGGTTCTTTCATTTTATTCTTTCATTTTACTATGATTGCAACATGTTCACCATGTTAATGTCAACCTTTCTATGATCCATGTGATCTAATAAATACAACATTGCATTAAATTTTTGTAGTTAATATTACTCCGCATGGAATTTAACCATTAGCCGCCTGGCCAATGGCCGTTTGGCGGCTTCAGATGTGCCTCTTCATTCCGGGTGCACGCCATTTGGCGTGCTCCCGCACATGCGCCGTTTGCTATAATGCAGAGCGGCGCAGCAGCGGGATCTGTCACGGGCCGTGCACCTCGGACACGGCCGATGACAGATCCGAGTACCAGCTCCCGTTGCTGGTACCATGTGACCTGCTGTGACCAATCACAGCAGGTCACATGACAGTTGTATACAATGGATGGCTTCATTCATGATGCCATCCATTGTATACTAGTGCCTAGCTGTGAATGGTCACAGCTAATCACATGCACATGTCATGTGATTAGCTGTGACCAAATCACAGCTAAGCAAAAAAAAAAAAAAAAAAAAAAAAAAAAAAAAAAAAGCTGAATGAATCGATTTCATTCAGGTAAATGCTTGCTTATAGCAAAGTAATTCTTTGCTATAAGCAAATTGTGTAAAAAAAAAAAAAAATACTGATCACTTCCCCAAAGTAGTACAGTGTTACTATGGTAACATTGTACTACTTTGGTCATAGTAAAATATGAAAAAAAAACTTAAAAAAAATAAAAAAAAATGTAATAAAAAATTAAATATAATAAAAAAAAAAATATATATATATATATATATATATATATATATATATATATATATTTCTTTTTCATATTGTCACCAGTCAGTGTCCCTGTTAACCGCCATGCCAGTTATATGATGACGCTGTACTGCACTGGTGACAGTATGTAAAAAAAAAAAAAGTGAAAATAATTTTTTTAATTTTTTCATTTTCCGAAAAATTATGACATAAAAATACAACTTCAAAAAACTCGCCATGCCTCTTATGAAGTACGTCGGACTGTCTACTTTGCAAAAAGGGGTCATTTGTGGGATATCTGTACTGTTCTGACATTCTTGGACCTCAAGAAATTAGATTGGCTGTCAGTACTTCAGGATTGATCAATATTCAGATCTATACCATAGTTTGTGAACTCTATAACTTTCCTACAAACTAAAAAATACATCCTAATTTGGGTTATTTTCACCAAAGACATGTAGCAGAATACATCTCGGCCTAAATTTATGAAGAACAATTATTTATTTGTAAACTTTTATAACAGAAACAAAGAAAAAATGTTTTTTTTTTTCAAAATTTTTGGTCTTTTTTTGTTAATTTAGCAAAAAATAAAAACCCCAGCGGTGATTAAATACCACCAAAAGAAAGCTCTAGTTGTGTAAAGAAAATGATAAAATTTTAGTTTGGGTACAGTGTTGTATGACCGCGCAATTGTCATTCAAAGTGTGAGAGCGCTGAAACCTGAAACATGGCCTGGGCAGGAAGGTGTAAAATTGCACGGTATTGAAATGGTTAATTAACCACTTTTCAGGCGGTCATGCACTAGTCAACTGCCACTTTTTCTGTGTTACAATGAGAGAGAGATAAGCCTGTATACAATTCTACAAAAGTTGGAATGCTGTGTAAAATGTACATAAAAAGAGAATGCAATGATTGGCATATTTTGTTCACAATAGAAAACATATCAAATGTTATAACCACTTGTCGCCCGCCCACAGTACATTTACTGCGAGCAGGCAGCACATCCAGGCACCAGGACGTACCCATGCGTTGTGGTCAACTACTTCAATTTCGAGTGCCAATGTGCACCTCCTACTGACCTGTGCTGTGATTGGACACAGCATGAATTTGTCAGCAGGTTTCAGCCAATGATTTTGGCTGAAGCCTGCTGATCGGTTGTGGCCAATCACAGCACACAGTTCTGCATTTACATTTATTGCTGATGAATACTGATGAATACAGAAATTGAAATGTATTGAAAGTGTGAGAGAGCGCTGAAACCTGAAACATGGCCTGGGCAGGAAGGTGTAAAATTGCACGGTATTGAAATGGTTTAATTAACCACTTTTCAGGCGGTCATGCACTAGTCAACTGCCACTTTTTCTGTGTTACAATGAGAGATAAGCCTGTATACAATTCTACAAAAGTTGGAATGCTGTGTAAAATGTACATAAAAAGAGAAAATGCAATGATTGGCATATTTTGTTCACAATAGAAAACATATCAAATGTTATAACCACTTGTCGCCCGCCCACAGTACATTTACTGCGAGCAGGCAGCACATCCAGGCACCAGGACGTACCCATGCGTTGTGGTGAACTACTTCGATTTCGAGTGCCAATGTGCACCTCCTACTGACCTGTGCTGTGATTGGACACAGCATGAATTTGTCAGCAGGTTTCAGCCAATGATTTTGGCTGAAGCCTGCTGATCGGTTTGTGGCCAATCACAGCACACAGTTCTGCATTTACAAACACAAAAACTCTGTACACAGACAGCGATCTGGCTGTTTCTTCTCCCTAAAATCAAATCTGATTTAACGGTGAAAAAGCAGCCAGATCTGTGAGTAAAAGCAGCACACACTACGTGTGTTAGACATGCAGTTAACACCTTCCCAGCCAGTGTCATTAGTACAGTATTATCACTGTATTAGCATCACTAGCAAGGTCAGTTAGTGTCCCATCCAGCCAGTGTGTTAGCGCCATATTGACTGCCACACTATTTGTCACAAGATAAGCCACGAATTACTGCCATTAGAAGTACAGTGTCTATAGCTGAGTAAATTCCAGTAAATATACCATAGTTTGTAGACGCTAATTTTGAAATTGATGGAATTGGGGTTGTACTTAGTTTTCCTTTACATATCTGTTCATTAGGTTTATTAGTAGTCTAGTTCAGTATTTCTGAACTTTTATAAAGGATGCAGCTCTTTACGTAGCATTAAAGTGTATGTACAGTGAATTGTTTTATTTATCACAGTAGAGTGTTGAAAGGTTAAAATTCTTATAATATTTTTTGCGGTCTGTCTAAAGTTGGGGAGTTTTTCCTTTATTTCCTGTCCCATAGATGCAGCAGCAAATGAGAGGAAATCTTTGTAAAATGCCAGCAATCCCTCAGATAGTTTTCATGAGAACAGATGTCACCAACAAAGATTTTCTCACCTCATGCTTTGGTGACAACTGTAAAATTTAGGATTTGCCATTATTCTGTGATGGAGATCATTGTCATCAATATATATATATATATATATATATATATATATATATATATATATATATATATATATATATATATACATACATATATATACACACACACACACACACACACCACCTCACCACTTGCCCCCTTGACCCTGTCCCCACACAACTCCTCCAGTCATCCTCCTCCTCCATCCTACGTTCCCTCACCCCCATCAATCTCTCCCTCTCCACTGGAGCATTCCCCTCCCCCCTAAAGCACGCGCACATCACCCCCATACTCAAAAAACCCTCCCTGGACCCCACCGACCTGAACAACTTTAGACCCATCTCCCTGCTGCCATTTACTTCCAAGCTCCTGGAGCGCTTAGTCTACAATCGCCTAAGCGCCCACCTCACTGACAACAACCTCCTCAATCCACTACAGTCTGGCTTCCATCCCCTACACTCCACCAAAACCGCCCTACTCAAAATCACTAATGACCTGCTAACCGCCAAAGCTTATGGCCACTACTCAGTCCTCCTACTCCTCGACCTCTCCGCGGCCTTCGACACTGTCGACCACCCCCCTCCTCAATAAACTACACTCCCTTGGCATCAGACACTCTGCTCTCTCCTGGCTTTCCTCCTATCTATCCCAACGCTCCTTCAGCGTTACCTATAACGCTACCACCTCCCCCTCTCTGTTGGGGTCCCCCAAGGCTCTGTCCTCGGGCCCCTTCTCTTCTCCATCTACACCTCCTCCCTCGGCAAACTGATACACTCCCACGGCTTCAACTACCACCTCTATGCCGATGACATGCAAATTTATCTCTCCACCCCTTCAGTCTCCGCCCGTATCACCCACCTACTGAACGACATATCAGACTGGATGTCGCTCCATTTCCTCAAATTGAACCTTTCCAAAACCGAGCTCCTGATTTTCCCCCAGCCCATGCCCCCCCCCCTCTCCATCACGACCAACAACGCCACCATCAGTCCCACCCCGCAAGCCAAAGTCCTAGGTGTCACTCTAGACTCAAACCTGTCCTTCCAACCCCATGTCCAATCGTTGGCAAACTCATGCAGGCTCCACCTCTGCAACATCTCCAAAATACGCTCGTTCCTAACCCCAAACCTACTAAACTACTCGTTCACTCCCTTATTATCTCACGTCTGGACTACTGCAACTCCCTTCTCACCGGCCTACCTCATCTTCAGTCTATGCTAAATTCAGCGGCCAGACTCATCCACCTTACCAACCGTTCCGCTTCTGCCACCCCCCTCTGTCATTCCCTCCACTGGCTCCCGATTGCCCAACGCATTAAATTCAAACTACTAACATTGACGTACAAAGCCATTCATAATGCTGCCCCAAAACTACCTCCCTGACCTGATACCCAAATACCACCCAACCCGTAATCTTCGCTCCTCACAAGACCTCCTACTTTCTAGCTCCCTGGTCTCCACCTCCCACGGCCGACAGCAGGACTTCTCCAGGGCTCCCCCCATCCTCTGGAACTCACTACCCCAATCCATCAGACTGTCACCTACCCTCCTCACCTTTAGGCGCACCCTAAAAACCCATCTCTTCAGGGAAGCCTACCCCGCCCTCACGTAACAGCCGATCTCCTCTACTCCTCTCACCACTCCATCCACCACAGCCACTTCCTCCTGTACCACTATCCCCCCTCCCTCCTAGATTGTAATCTCAAAAGAGCAGGGCCCTTGAATCCCTCGTGTTCTGTTTTGTTACTGTATTGTCTCATGTACTGTCCCCCACTATAATGTACAGCGCTGAGCAAACCTTTTAGCGCTATATAAATACTGTAGAATAATAAATAATAATTTTTTTTTTTTTTTCCAACCCCTTGTGGCTTAAAGCACAACAGATTTACCAAAACTTGTGTAATGCACTTCTTGTTGCTTAGGGTAAAGCAATGGGTTCACTTTACTCCTCCTAGTCCCCAGCACATACTTGCCTGCCCTTCCCTGTCTGACTGCTCTATTCAGTACCTGGAATGAAGAAAGGTCATCTTTAAACTGCATATTACTCTTGTAGGAGCTTTCACAAGGCTGAATACACTTTCCCCATGCCCCTATTTGACAGTGCTGCCCAAGCGCCAGCACAAAGAGTAAAAGGAGCAAGTCATTTGGTTCCCCCTTGGGAACCACGAGTATTTTTCTTGCTCTTGTCTGCTAAATGGGAAAGATGAGGAGCATGCCCTGCTGGGGAGAGATTACTGTACAAATACAAAAATGTACACCTTGAACTAAAAGCAGACTCTGGATTACAGAGTCGCTCTAGTAGAAAAACTACCATCAAAACCACCTTGATTGGCAAAAGGATTAATCATAAGCTTCTCACTCGGTGCAGGCTTCTACTCCATCCACGCCTTTGAGGTGTAGCATTGTATATGTGTGTTGCTTTAAGTGGAAATTATATAAAATGCCTGAGCAGAAGTAATCTGGAAGCGTAGTGTTCTTGCAAAGTCTGGGACACTGCCAACAAAGCATAGACTGGGCATTTCTGTGGATTTTCCATCATACTGAGCATTAGTGCTACACTATAATCTTCTCACTCCTATTTCAGGTATAGGATGCCACCACTATAGCACTAGACATTGCTTTATATATATATATTGCTTCCAATGCAAAGTCAATATATTTTACTAATACAGATATCACAAATAGTTACCAATTTAATACCCTCTCCGCGACACAGCCTCTCATACTTCTGCCTCTCTGGCAGATGATCTTTTGGACGGCCTTTCCTTGTCGTCACTTGTGCTTCATCTGAATCTGAAGAACTGGTTTTATTTGCTTCTTTTGCCATGATATACTCAAAGTATTTCAGATTTCCATTGCCTCTTTGATGTTCAGGATCTGAAGTTTAAAAAGCCGCAAATTATGTTTTTTGTGAAGTCACTGCACAGATCAATCACTAGCACTATATCTAAAATTGAGTAGAGATTAATTTAGGGAAGGTTTACAATGGTGAAATTAAGGAGGACTTGGGGAATGTGCTCAAAAAACACACACACAACAAAAACCAACAAACACAACACAAACACCACACACCAGCCCCGATCCTTGTCTTTTCTGGTCCCTCGCCAGGACTCCTGGTCCCTCCACCAGCCAAGTGCTACCAGAGTAAGTCAAATGACTGAATGTTCTAAAATGTTCTGGGGGCTCTCATGCGTGCTTACTCCCAAGCCAGCCCTGTAAGTCCATAAGCCACAAAAGGAGAGAAATGTCACCGGCACACCAAGGATCTCCAATATGGGTCCAAAAAGGCTTTAATGAAGGTTTACATAGTTACAGCAGGCAACATTTCAGTCTCGCAGAACCCCTTCATCAGGCATGTGATGACCGCACGGCAATGTTTTGGAGTTTCTCAGGACCCCTAAATCAGGCATGTAACGACAAAATTATGTCGTCACATGCCTGAAGAAGAGGTCCTGCAAGACTCCAAAACATTGTCCTGCTGTAAATCTTCATTAAAGCCTTTTTGAACCCATATTGGAGAGCCTTGGTGTGCCGGTGACATTTCTCTCCTTTTGTGGCTTATGGACTTACAGTTGACTCGGTTTCACCAGACAGTCGCTGCAGCGCCCACCCATGCAGACAGACATAGTCAGCAGGAACGTGTGCGTTGGCATTGTGCATCTTCATAAGCCACAAAGCACGTCTCAGCCTGCCCCCTCCTCACTGGCTGTGATTGACAGCAGTGGGAGCCAATGAGGAGGCAGAGACCCGAGAGCCAATGCTCTTGTGCACATAACTGGATCAGGATCGGGCTCGGGTAATGGGGGAGCTGCACATTGAAGGTTTACCTTCATGCATAGTAAAAACCCATCAGCCTTTAGAACCACTTTAACATTGTTAAATTTAGGTTTCCTTAACATCTAAACAGTTTTCAATGGCACAATGTGGTCAGAACACATTTAAACTGCAGAAACCTTTGAATTTTAAACAAGACATCCAAGTCCGTTCATATATTTTCTTCATTTTACTGCATTCATGGGCAGAAATTAGGGCCTGTCTTTTAAAGCAACGGTTGCCAACCGATGGTCCGTGGACCACTGGTGGTCCGCAGAAAAATCTGTACATTTGCATTTTTTTTTTTTTTATGTTTTATTAATAAAAACAAAAATATTCTAATAAATTCAATTTAATTAAGACAATTTTCGTCTTTATATTGCACCACGTTCACGAACTGTACTAGAGAGGGGGAAACAAGAGGTGCAGCGTGACGTCAGGGTAGTCTTAAGTTGTATGAGGCAACTGTTGACGAGCCGTACGCTTTAGTATTGTGTCGGTACCGGTCTCGACTTGAGACAAAAACAGATCTCTGTCTTGCAGTAATGTCATTGGAGCCAAAAATCCATAAACTTATTTCAAACAAGCAGGAACAAATATCACACTAAAATGTGTAAATACTTAAATAAGCTTCATTTATTTTCTAATAATTTAACTTTAATAATTTTGTTACAATTAAACAACCTTTAAAGATTTTGTTATGATTAAATAAGCATTTACGATGTTGTTATAATTAAATAAGCATTTAGAATTTAGTTATATTGAATAGGTGCATTTCATATTAATAAAATGGAAGTCCTCTGATCATTATTTTACAAATGTATTTATCTTTTTAAAAAATTCATATTAGCGGTCCACGGGAATTAAAATTATGAATGTTGTGGTCCGTGAGGTTCGCAAAAAGGTTGACGACCGCGGTTTTAAAGCAATGAAAAGAAAAAAATAAATAAAATATGGGCCTCTGCAGGTTTAGGTCATAATGTACTAGTATGCACCTCCTGCGCAGTGCTGTTACCTGCTGCCCTGTGCGGTCATCTTCACCCAGTCTTTCGCCTGGGTTCATGGGCTCTGGCTGTATGAATGGCCGGGGTTATAATGACATCACTCCTGTGCACGGGAGTCCTTGGCTATGGCACGAAGCTCTGGCACGATATGCTGTCCCTTCAGAGCGCATGCGCCGGTGAAGTCACCAGCTGCAGGTTATGTGAATATCTCCTAAACAGTGCAAGTTTAGGAGATGTTCACTGTACCTACAGGTAAGCCTTATTATAGGCAAGTTCTAAAGTGGACTTTACTTCCACTATAATGTGCTATGCACAATGCTATATGGTATTACTAGGTTGTGCATCACAACCAAAACCCCTCGGAAGCTGAACTCCTGGCAAACAGCTAAATACACAGATTAAATACAAAGAAGCTAATTAACCTAGCAAAGGACCTACCTACCAACACAGCCTTAACTGGCAGCACAGTGCTTTCCTACAGTTAGGCAACACTTACAGGGCTTATACCTCCCTTTTCCTGTGATTGAACAGTTATAGTAAGAGAAAGCGCAAACTAAGGAGTTAATTTCCTATTCTATCAGCATGCTCCTTGTTAGCTGGGTCTCAGCTCAGCTGTGAAGAGAACTGCATTAAAATAAAATTTTATATATATATATATATATATATTTTTTTTTATTTTTTAATTCCTGGAGCTGACCTTTAAACACACACACTTATTTGGGGGGGCGGGTGGGAGGGACACATACAGGATTCCGGTGAGCTTTTAAATCTTATGGATTACACAATTTGTGAAGGCAACCTATGAAATAAGACAACAGGAGGATCACATCCTTCACCCACAGAACAAAGAAACTGAACGCAGGTAGTATCCTGGTTGAGTGTCAAACCGATGACCCTAATGCTGCGAGGTAGTAGTCTATATTTCTACAGGGATCGTCAGTCAGTCAGTCTCCTAGGCTGGATTACAGATGGAAAGTTTTATAGTTAGGCCAGTGACTGGTGGTCATAGGGTTTTCTTTGGACTTCAGTAATTCAAGTGACAGAACATGAATAGAGAGGAACAGATCTATGCCATCACTGACAGTATATAAAATTTAATCCAGAATGCTAAACATACTTCAGGTTAAGCACTTCTTACAAACAAGCAATAACACAATCCATTCAATTGTAAAAAAAAAAAAAAAAAACACCCCGCACACCACACTTACCGAGATCTAATAGCCTTTTGGTTAGCTTCAGGGCTTTTTTCAAATCGCCTTGCTGATACACTGCATAGCTAAGGTAGTCTAGTACCACAACCTTATCAATGGAGGAGGATAGCTCTCCAGCATCCAGCTGACGCAGGGCTTGCTCCATCCACAGCTCTGTATGGTAATAGTCAGCTTCTGTGTAAGCAACCTTTCCCAGTTCAAAGCAGTCTTCAACAATCAGCGTTGCTTTATGCTTTACACCTATGAAAAACCAGAGAATAAAAACATCTGTTAAGGTGTATGAATACAATTATTTTCTAAATCACACACACTCTATGACTATCATTATTTTACAGTTGCCACTAGCATCATTACTAGTCAGTTATCTTTAATGGTGGTACAAATGCTACATACCAGGCACTATGAAAAGTGGAACTTTAAAGTGGTTGTAAACCTCAAACATAATATATATTAATACACACACACACACACACACACACACACACACACACACAAAATGTATGTACTGGGGAAAAAAAAAAACAGTTTTAAAGAAATGGAACCCGGGGGAAGGGGTGTGAGAGAAAACTGCAGGACCAAGGATAAAAAAAAAACTGTAGAACCATGTATTAAACGGATGTTTTCAATACCCCCCCCCCCCCCCACCAAAAAAAAAAAAAAACAAAACAAAAAAAAAAAAAACAAAAACAAAAAACAAAAAAAAGACACACCCTAGAATATTCTTATGGAGGGGGGAATACAGGGTAAATATTTTATTATTTTAAACAACAATTAACAAACATTACAGTACCTGGCAAGTTTCCCTTGGAGAGTGTATCTGTGTCCAAGTTATACGTGTCCTGAAGACGAATCAATGCTTTCGCTGCGCCTGTCTGGTCCTCGTCACTGGGGAAATATTGGCGTTGGATGGTCAAGTTAGAGATAAAACCTAAAATAAAAATGATCAAAAAGCTATATTAAATCGAATAAATCACAAGCGAGTACGAATTACAAAGACTAATGTATTCTCATGCAACCTTAACTAATCCTTCTAAAAAGGGCCAATAAACGCAAAACAAAACTGACTACCATAAAACTGTAATTAAAAGAGATTTGCAGTAGTGTGTGGAAAACAATACACACCAGCATAAGTGTTAACTAATCCCACAGCAGTCAGCCTCTTGTCAGACTCACAAGCTTTGAATGCCTGCTTAACTCAAACAAAAGGCAGTACACAGCTAGCCTGCAAATGTGAAGTCTCAAGCAGCGAAAAGGCATGACAAATTAAAAATAAAGGATTTGTAGAAATAGCAATGTGCAGCATCTTGTGTCATTACTTTATTGTTCCCATTGGTGACCTATACATACTTTACAAAATTACACAATATTATGGTCAAACAATAAAGCCTTTACCATCAGACATGTCCTTCAGCACCAGATTCTCAAGTTCCCGCCACTCTGTATTGAGTCTCTTCATTAACTTGAATGCATTGACTGGGTGGCCCAGGAAGCCCTCTGGATCATTTATTGCAGTCTCTGATAGCATATCAAATTTCTCTGCCCATCTGTAAAAGCAGATTCACTTTAGAAACACATTTTTCAGTGAAATGAGAAGTATAAAACATCTTGAAAAATACATTTCATCTACTTAATGTTGGATTTGGAGAATAAAAGTTCAGCTTTAACTATTTTTAATTCTTATGCTTCTAGCCTTAGTAGATAGATGGGAAGGTATATTCTATTTACTTGTTTTAAAAACTATTTTTTTTCCATTTCTTCATTTGCTTCCTGGTTTCTAGCCTAGGTCAAAATGATGTCATACATCCTAGGAGTCTTCATGGCCTTTTTTTTTTTGTATTTCATCTGGAGGAAGGGGCTTTCTTAGCTAACCACACCTCCCAGTCTACATGTCTGAACTATGCGCTGATGGATTCCAGGAAAAAAATGCTACATGAATCTCCTGCCCTTACGCCATAGCTGGAAATACAAACTGCCTATGCTGGACATCAGAGCACATTCATCCCAGCACGATCAGTTTACCAGCCTGACAAGGGGGAGGCTGGGGAGAGCCTGCCAGTCCTCCAATGGCCAAGACTTAAACACACTTCAGCATAAAAGGAGTACACCATTTTTGAAAAGTAAGATTTTAATCAATGTCTCAATGAACACGGGAACAATTTCCAAAATTCTGAAAAAACTGGAGTTTTATAGAACATTTGTTTAGCTCATTACATGAAAGAAAGGTCAAAAATATAACTTGGATTACAAAATCTTCAGTTTTAGTCAAATTAGTTGATGCAAAAATGGATACACCCCACAACAACAAAAAACTACTACATCTAGTATTTTGTATGACCTCCATGATTTGTAAGGACAGCACCAAGTCTTCTCGGCATGGAGTGAACAAGTTGGCGACATATTGAAACATCTATCTTTTTCCATTCTTCAAGAACAACGTCTTTTAGAGCCTGGATGCTGATGGAGAGATGCTCAACTTATCTCTTCAGAATTCCCCATAGGTGTTAGATTGGGTTCAGATCAGGAGACAAACAGTACTTGACCACTGATTCACTTCCACCTGGTTCTTCTTCAGAAATGCAACCGTGGCCTTAGGTGTGTGTTTTGGATCATTGACATGCTGAAAAAGTGCATGACGACCAAGGGGGCACGGAGTGATGGTAGAATCTTCTCTTTCAATATAGAGCAATACCATCTGTGAATTCACGATGCCATCAATGAAATGCAGCTCCCCGATAACAACAGCACTCATGCAGCTCCATAGAAGGACACTGCTACCACCAAGTTTCACTGTAGGCACCATGCATTTTTCTTTGTACTCCTCACCTTTGCGACACCATACAGTTTTGAAGCTATCAGTTCCAAAAATATTTATCTTGGTCTCATCACTCCAGAGTACAGAGTTCCAGTAGTCTTTCAGATTGGGCCCTGGCAAATTCTAGGTAGGCTTTTTCATGCATGGGCTTTAGGAGAGGCTTCCCTCATGGACAATACCCATGTATGCCATTCCTCTGCAGTGTATGCCGTATTGTTTCACGGGAAACAATCACCCCAGTTTGGCTTTCTACTTCTTAAGCTAACTGCAGTGAACTTGCATGGTGATTTTCTTCAACCCTTCTAATCAGAGATGCTCCTGTCGAGGTGTTAACTTCCGTGAACGGCCTGGACGTCTCTGTGAGATGGTTGTACTTCCATCTTTGTATCACTGTTGCTACAGTATTCTGACTGATAAGTAAAGCTTTACATAAGAAAGGTGAAGGCTACAAGAAGATTAGCAAAGAAATCATTTTCTTTCGCAATCCTTGTGACATTTCTCTTCCATGTGGTGCCATTGCTGACAGCATTAAATGGGAAGGGGTTTTCTTTGTTAAGTAACGTCCTTTTATAATCAACTGTCTGCTGGACACCTGTTTAATGAATAATTATACTCACCTGTAGTTGAATTCTTGTTAATTAGGAATTTATCTAAAAAAGCTTTTCTCCTAAGACTTTCATGGGGGTGTATTCATTTTTACAACATGGTCTTGAATGAATGTTAGAAAAAATACTTTGTCTGTGCAAATTAACAAATTTTGTTTGCAATCAATGGCCCACATTTGTATTTTGTAGTATAGTGTCCCACAGAAAATGTTGATTCTGAAAGGAAAATAAAAGGTTTTCTGACAAATCTGTTGGGGTGTACTCATTTGTGCTGAGCATATTTATTTTTTTTCCTCATTTTGTGTTTTTTCTTTTGAAGAGGTAAGAAACTGAACAGATTCCAAGTGAGCCAGCCCATGCAGGGGAGGTCACTTGCAGAAAGAACACATACACCCAAACAGGCTGTAACTAACGTGATGGCACATGTACTAAGCCATGTCATCATGAGATCTGTAGCAATGCATCTTTTCATGTCAGGATGGTCAAAATCAACCAAGAGCTAAAGAAGCTCCGATAGCCTTAGAAGAATCAGAGGCAAACATCAGGGGGAAGAATCTACAGCAGTGGATGGGTCTTCCAGCCACCTTGCCTGTAAATTGTTGAAGTTTCCTAGTGACCTTATTTTCATAAGTATCCCCATATAAAGGAAGGTTCGAGTTAACCAGACGATTACAGAAAACAAGTGGATGTCTTCTTCCAGTGCATGGTGATTCACTTTCTAGAGTAAAAGATAACAGACCCAAGAGTGTCTTTTCGGCCACAATATGAGCAAAGTCTTTGTCCAGGCCCAATAAGCATATTCTTCACATTGGGGTAAGCTGGGCTTGGTTGACTAATATTTGTGCCAAGAAACTCCAGCCACAACTGGGTTCCATTACATTCTTAGTTTGCATTGGTCAGATTTATTTGAAAGTACTGTTTCTACCAGTACTGTCTGCCTTCTAGTTTCATCCCACTATGCGCTTACAGAAAAAAAAAAAAAAAATCTGGACAGAATTCATGGTTAGCACTTCTGCCTGGCAGTACTAGGGTCATTGATTCGAATCCCAACCACGGCACCACCTGCCTGGAGTTTGCATGCGCTCCCTATGCCAGTGTGGGTTTCCTCCCACACTCCAAAGACATGCTGGTAGGTTAGTTGGATCCTGTCTAAACTGGCCCTAGTATGTGTATGTATGAATGTAAGTTAGGGACCTTAGTCCCTAACCCTCAAGGGGTGTACAATCTGATGTGAATGTACATATTTATGTAAAGCGCTGTGTAAATTGATGGAGCTATACAAGTACCATAAATAAATAATTCGATTTTATCAACTTCTGTGGAAGGAACATGTTGGACAATGTTTCTCAATCAGTGGCTGCAGCCAATCAGTATTTTCTGACCAGTGCACAAAAAGCATTAAAAAGGTAAAGATAATACCATTTTTAGCTTTTGTGTAAGAGGGAGGGATAAAATAAAATAAACGCTGTGAAGGTGAGTTTAGTTTTGAAGTAGAACTTCAACTATCTTGCCCTAAATCTTGAGCAGGTTTCCAGTCACTGCTAAGTAAGTCATCTCATTCAGCCCACAGACGTCTGATTGAATATAGTCATTGTTTGGCTACAAATGATTTTTTTCAGCTGAAAAAGTCAGGCCGGGTAGTGCTGTCAGGTTCACCCATGGCTCAAATTTCCTGCTGAATCAACCAAAACTTAAGCTGTACATGGCCAGCTTAATGCCATTACATCCAGGGGCTGCGAAGCTGCAGACTATTACCTTTTTGTTCTTTGGTTTAATTAACTTTAAAACAGAATGTGTCAATGGTTGAGTAGAAATCAGATTTTTGAGAACTGGCGTAGTTGCTTCTAGTCACACCCAACACCTGGCACAAAATACCCAAGAGCAATGACATTCCTTAAAGCTATCTGGTAAAGAGCAATTAAACTGTCCAAAGCACTCCTTCTCCAAAAAAGTTCAAACAAATAAAATCTCTCAAGGGTAAACAAAGATTACAAGTATACCACATATAAAAACCACAGAGAGCGCAAGCACACCGCTCCAGGTCGGTGTCATGTTCCACCTCCACACTAATAGGTGCAGGCTCTGTCCACAGCAGTCTTCATAAAAAGAAAAAATTCTGGTTGGCCACACAGCCAAAAGAAATCATCTTTACTTACAGCTGTGTACAGCAAATACAGATAACGCATTTTAAGTCAGCTCTTAAATTATAGCTTACAAGCTTATAAACTATGATAAGCACTGAATTAGCACAAAATGTGTTAACTGTGTATGCTGCATCCCCTCATTGTGAAGAGGTTATTTAATGACGATTTCTAACCCCCAGTTCACATATATGCGGCCGTGTTTTGCACGGGCACGAGAGCCCATTTATTTGAATGGACTCCCGTGCCCGTGACATGCAGGGAAGAAGTCCCTGCACTTCTTTGGAAAACGCAGCCTGCATGGAAACCTCGGTTCCCAGTACAGCTGCGGTTTCCAGTGCGGGCGGCGTGCCAATAGAACAAATGGCACCCGCCCGCGGGTCCGCATTTCTCGGTGCGGCTGCATGGATTTTCGCACGGATCCGCAGCGGCACCACCTGCACAGATGTGAACCTACCGTCATAAAAAGGCAATTTCTTTGGATGTACTGCCAAACAGAACTTTTTCCTTTACATGAAGACATATGTAAACCAACTAAGATTTCCACCCCCACAAAAAAAAGAAAGAAAAAGCGGCTAACATACACTGCAGTGTCCTGGAAGAGAAGAACCTCTAAGAGGAGAGCACAGTAATATTTTCAGTCATTAAACTCACTTTTTAATCTGTTGCAGTTTTAGCTCTTCTGCCTTTATATAGTCTTTTAGTGATGTGACCAGGTCCTTCTCAGTATACAGCAAGTCAGTCATGTGGCCTGCAATACAAATGTAGAGCATGAAGTCATCTGTGCACTTGTGCGCGGTCCTGAGTCTATGCATTCTCTTAATCGACTTATAAAAAGTGTTGTTATTCTTGTTGTAAGCTGCAACAAATTGTATCATGGGTGTATGGGACTTTCCCGGCAACAAAAATACAAAGGCAGATATATATATATATATATATATATATATATATATATATATATATATATATATATATATATATATATATATATACACACACACACACACACACACACACACACATATATACATACACACTTATTACATCTTTATTTCAAAGCATAAAACCATATATCTCAAAACATACACAGCAGGTTTAGTCCATAGGGAACTCGCAGGTTTAAAACGTAACAGTCTTGATGTGGAAAGCTGTCTGACGTGTTGAGCATCACTCTTCATCAGGGGCATAAATACACAAAAACGCAGAGAAGTTAGAGGCTGCAAGCCTACAGATAAGAATATTAAACATAATAAGCTTGGTATTGTGGTGATGCGATCCAAGGGGGAAATCTCAAAAAGGGAAACAAAAAAAAGGTAAATTCAGAGATCCAGTGGGCAGCTAGGAGAATTTAACAACAGCCCAAAATATATCCACAACACTCCAACATCAGGGAAGATGGAAGGCTATTTCTAGGATGTTGACATCCTAGTAGCCTCTAATCACATCAGTTATCTTCTGCTTGTTGTAAGTTGCAGCACAGCATTTCTAATGAAAAAAAAATAAAATCTACTATTAAAAAAAGAAGTCCCAGGAAAAAAAAAAAAAAAAAAAAAAAAAATCTCTGGACCAGGAAAAGGAGGGGGGGCATCCATTTTGATTTTACTTGTATTTAACATAAGGAATGCCAGAGAACACTGAGCATTCCGTATGCTACATAATACAATGTTAAGCAAATACTAGGCAGACAATGTTTACACTAATGATTAGTAGGCCCTGGATACTTGCTGGGCTGTAAGGAGTACACCCTGTACAAAGTTCTCATTATTGCAGGCAAATATTTAAATTGTATCAACACTACAATGACACTTGGGAGTTTAATACTTTATTATATGCTCTTTTTGCAGAACAAACTGGTTGCTTCATACATAATGATTAAGAGGGCATAGCCAATTGTTTTATGACACTGCAATCCAAAAGATGAGGATTTCTGGTGGCCTGAGGAACCATGTACCAGAAAAGCTGGAGAAGAAAAAAAACAAAAAACAAAAACAGGCACAAAACAAAAAAAAAACACCACACACTACGGGGGTCTTTTTAGCATGTATATTTCCTGTCAACATTAGCCCTATCTAGTGGAAAAAAAAAGCACCATTTTTCTGAATACCTCATTCAGAAAAATATTGCTTGATGTCCACTAGATGAAGCTGGCAATCAGTCAGTTAATAAAAACATACTATAAAGAGACCCTCCATTTTTTCCCTACCTTTCCTGGTAAAAAAACATATTATGCACATTATGGTGATTTGTGACAGCTGTGTAAATGCGCTTGAGGCATTATCACAGAAATGTTTTGATTAACAGAACCCTTTGCTTGCATGAAGAATGTCAAAAGTACATTGAACATCGTACAAAAAGTACATAGAACATCGAAAACTACCCCAAGGCAGAACTGGGGACTAGCAGAATTAATCGGTCCTTTGTTCTATTTGACCTGTACTGTCAAATGTTCATTTGGGTTATTAAACAAGAAGATTTCAGATTATAAAATACTTTCAAATCTACCCAGAAGTATCAGATCTTCATAATTATATGGACTTCACTAAATGAGGGAGATGATTAACACATGGGGGGGGGGGGGGGGCTAATTATCTGCAGCTCTGGGAGGTAACCTGATCAGCTTTCCCTCACTTGACCTTTGCTGAGTTATTAATCTTCAAAAGGTGAAAACAGATTTTATAGTTCTGATTGGTGCCATACATATATACATATATTACAGATAACCTTGACATCATTATGGTGTTGATTTCCAAACACTGGAGGAAAGATGCGAATGAGATTTTTAGAACCTCCAATCAAATCCTTCTAATCAAGTCTAATTGGTGCTGACACCTCAGCACAGCTGGAATAGAATTGGCTGTTAAGGGTAATATGGGAGTTTCCCCCTCCAAATGTTAAGAACTAGTCCTCATTGGAAATATATTGTAGACAGATGGCGTAAATATATAGCCCAAATTAAAAAATACATGCATCCCAAACAGAACCTCACTTTTTTGGCTAAAGCATTGTGCATTATAAACAAAATTCTGTGCTTTATTCTTTTAGAAAATAGTTATTCCTTATCTTCGTGTGCTGCTGATCTCCAGCATCCTCTTTGCAGCCACTTCATGTCTCCATGTACTTGCTTCAGCTGTGGCAACTGTATGTCATTGTTCTAACTAGATATCCTAATGATGACAACAGTGGAACATGCCTGCACAATGAGCATCTGCGTGATTATTTTTAGTCCCCCACTGGAACCGCATGTGACACCAGAGAACAGTTGTGAAAATGAGGACAGAGCACTGTTTAATTAGATGGCAGTTGCTGAGTTTAGATCAAAGTTAGGGAAAAAAAAAAAGTCTTACCAATTGAGGTGAAGAAGTCTGCATGTGCTTGGCATACGGAAAAGAACAAGAAGATGGGCAAGTAATGGAAAACCTTCATCTCTTTCATTGTGAACCTGTGGGAAATTCAATACAATTAGAGTTGCAGCTAGGACAGTATTAGCTTATCATTACCCACTAAAGGAATAGGTTTCCAATATACAGTTCTTTAAATTCTACAAACCCATTTCTAGATGAGCACTGAAAGATGCTACAGTGCAGTGCAAGGCCCCGCATGGCCAGATGAGATTACAGCAGTTTTCTCTGTCTGGCAAGGTAACCCTTATCACAGCCCCCATACAGACAGACATTATCAACTATGACAGCAGCCGTCAGTGAACAATAACATGTTCCCTGAAGGTATGGAAGGCTCATGCACTTAACGAGCTGCAATTAGAAACCACAAATATACCAACAAGTGTTGACAGCTTTACTCAAGAATATCAGGGATGTCTGACCAGGACTTTAACCTCTTACCTACCGGGCACTTATACCCCCTTCCTGCCCAGGCCAATTTTCAGCTTTCAGCACTGTCCCACTTTGAATGACAATTGTTCGGTCATGCAACACTGTACCCATATGAAATTTTTATCTTTTTTTTTTAGATAGATAGAGCTTTCTTTTGGTGGTATATCACCTCTGGGTTTTTTATTTTTTGCTAAACAAACCAAAAACAACTGAAAATTTAGAAGAAAAAAAAAATTTTAGTTTTTGTTATAAAATTTTGTAAATAAGTGATTTTTCTCCTTCACTGATGTGCACTAATGAGGCTGCAGTGATGGGCACTGATATGTGGAATTGATGAGGAGGCACTGACAGGCATCACTCATATGGCAATGATAGGCGGCACTGTGGCACTGATAGGCAGCTCAGATGGGCACTGATATGTGGCATTGATAGGCACTGGCAGGTGACATTGATGAGCACTGACAGCTGGCATTGATGGACACTGACAGATGGCACTGCTGGGACTATACTGATCATCAGTGCCCTGATGATCAGCGTACATGTCCCCTCTGAGGAATGCCGATTATAGTCTCTCCTCTCTTCATGAGCGGTCGGCGTGACAGCTTGTGAAGAGAGAACTACAGATAACCTGCATTTCCCTATTTACATGCGATCAGCTGTGATTGGACACAGCTGATCACATGACAGGTCTTTGGCTCTTTCCGTTGACCGGTGATCTGCTGTGTCCGAGACACAGCGCACCACCGATCGCCACGCTGCACGCACGTGCAGTTAGAGTGGGAGGACGTCATATGACATCCTCCCATAACAAGAACCGTCTTGTGCCCGTCAATTTCCTTATATGGCGGGTGAGAGGCGGTTAAAGTACCCCTAAAGCAGAACATATGTCATTTTTCATCAAATAGCAGGCATCTCCAGGTACCTGCAAGCCAGGTCTTTTATGTACCGGAGCACCTGGGCATTCCAGATATAAAGACTTGATGGGTCCAGATGGGCATTTTGTCTTGTCCCACCAGATGGGCATTTTGTCTTGTCCCCACCCTTCCTGCCTCTCAAATGATGGTCTGTTGTAGGCCATTACTCTGAGGGGCACCATCACAGGCCAATATTGAAGATTTGGAGGCAGGAGGACAGGGCAGGGACTCATCGTAGGAACGACATATGCACCAGATTACCCAGGTAATTCCAGTACTGAAATTTGAAAACGTATTACACATGAAGGCATCTTGGATGTATCTGCTACGGGATGAGAGCACCAAGTTAGTTAAAGAAGTGTATTCCACAGGGATTGCCTGTCAAAAATACAAAACATTATAATAAGTGTAAGATAAAAATGCAAAAAACACAGAGGTGATCTTTTTCTGAAGTAAAGACAACTAAAATGTTTTGCATCTCTTGCCTGTTCTTGTAAAACCTGACCCTCCCACCTCCAGGGCACCCTTCTGGTGCTTTGCAAATGGCAACCGCACTGACCAACATGTGGGAGGCTCAGGAGAAGAAAATGGGCCGGGCCAAGTTCAATTTTTGATAAAAATTCAAGATCCGCATAAAACTTCAGCCATCTATATTATAATCTACCAACTGTATAAAGGAGGCCAATTCTCTGTATTTTTTTTATTATTATTGGCATCAACAATTATACACAAGTCTGCCAAGTACTGTCATATGTGTATAAAAAGCCTTAGCCAAGGAAAATCACATTTGTTCATAGATAACTTTAAAACCTTAGTCTGGTTTAGCGATCAATCAAGAAAAGAAAACCATTACAGAAAAGGTACTAAAGGCAGCAAATCGCACTAGAATATTATAATTTGATTTGCTTGATAAAATGTCCATAGGCAGATGTTAGATGTGAACCTGATTGTTACATAAACATTTCCTTTTTATGGTCTCTCATTTTGAAATACAACATTACATAACTAGCTCTTGGCTGGAAATCAGGCAAAGCTTTAGACATTCAGAGGCATTTAGGTTATACTTGAATGAATTATACACTATTTCTGTAAAAATCATGCAAATCCATGGAGGAGCTGAAATGGCTCTATGAATGGCTTTAAAGATTTTGCAGCTTTGAGACAAAGTGTACTTGTCATTGTGGACCAAATGTTTTAAGAATTTAAGGAATATGGAATTAGGTCGGTTTAGAAAAAAAAAAAAAAAAAAAAAAAAAAAAAACAGATTTCCAACGATGCTATGCTCTGCTTGTTGGGTCATGTAGCCAATCTTCTTGTCACTGCAAACAACCATTTCATATATGGATTCTTCTATAGCAGGTCTATGTTATTAGGCTGTAGGAGATCAGTTCGTATAGACCAGTCGTTTCTAAACTATGGCCCTCCAGTTGTTGAAGGACTACAAGTCCCATCATGCCTCTGCGAGTCTTGCCTGTGGCTGTCAGAGTCTTGCAAGGCCTCATGGGGCTTGCAGTTCCTCAACACCTGGAGGGCCATAGTTTGTAGACCCCTGGTATAGACAAAGGTAATACAATAAGCTAAAAGAATGTTGGGGGGAACCAAATTTTTTCTAAGTGACATCTTTATTTCCAACAAAATAGCTACCCTGTCCATTGCACTTACCTACGGTATGGGGATAAAGAACACTAAAGCAGCTATGAGTATAGACATAGGAGAATGTGAAGGTATGCAAACCCCGCTTTGGATTAAAATAGGAGTTATCGGTCATCAGGAGCGGCTGTGCAGGAGAAGACGTACCAAACATGCTGCAAAAAATCCCCAGTACTACATTAACACTGAGAAACCAACAGAGAATGGACTGATCACCTTCTCCGTCAAGATCAGTTGACCCAATTGTCTAAAGCTGCCCATAGGCATGAAATCATCCCCCAATCCAATGGAAACCCTGGACAAGACTTCCCAGCTAAGAGCACCTTCAGTGCAAACCAGTCAGGTCGGAAATTTAAAAGCTGCAATATGCCAATATAAATCGCAGCTTGAATACACTTTAAGTCACTGTACTAGAACATCTATACAGCAAGCGAAGTCAACTTGAAGTCTGATGGTACTCATGTGGTGGTCCTAAGGAGTTCACAGGGTGGAGCCAAGAGAGCAACGTGAAGGCCAAAGAACAACCCTGGGTGTCCAATAGAAAAATTAAAAAGGAAAGGCAGGACAGCCCTTATATGTTGATATGTATATACCATTATTAAATCCAAGAGTGCTGGTTTAGATATAATAGTAAACATAGGAATAATGAACATGGTAAATTAACATTCAGCAAGGTTGCGGTAACCCAAATAGGTAGAACACGCAACTTTCTGTGGAATACCACTGTCTCCACACAGGATAGAGGCGATTGCTCTCGATGCCTCGGGGTCCCAATCCAAGGGCGTCAGAGGGATGATGTACTTCTTAAAATGAAAGTATTGCCAACCCTTTTGGTAGGTCAAACGGCAGAAGCACCTGTTAGGATGTGCATTGTGGGGCGTCTAGGGATGAATTGAAGTCATTGTATTTGATAAACATATGTTAAATACAATAACTTTGATTCATCACTGGACACGCCATACATTACCAATTTCAAACAAACATTTTTAGGGGGGACAAAAAAAAAAAAAAAAAAAAACAGAATGTTTTAAGAAAGTTTGTCTGTTCTTCTAATCATTAGCAGGGTCAAATCAATGTTATTTTTTTACCACAGGGACAAGAAAATTTGAGGGAGCAGGATGGAAATTTTTTCTGAAATCACATTTCTAAACAGTGTACGTGGTTTTCGTTCAGTAGTCTATTCATTCCAAAATCAAATGTTAAAAAAGGAAACAAAATCTTTTGAACGTTTCAATATTCTGAGAAGTTTCATACAAATCTTTCCTACGACTTTTCGTAGTAAATTCTATAAATATATGTCAAGCCTAATGGCCAGAGTAGACAGATTTCCTTTTGTAAAATAATTGAATTAGTGATAATAATGTGAGGCTCTGTGAAAAATACAGGTTGGCCACGTACTGATGAATGGAAGGACAGCATATATTAGATGTTCAAGACCAAAAACTGATTCAGTCTACAGAATTCTCACCATCCATGAATCTCCTCTACTAGCTGGCAAGAGTTAATATTTCTACTCTGTTGCAGAAAACTGAAGCTATCGACCTTCACATTTCAGATGCTTTTTGAGCAGATGCCAAGCTAAGTTGGGATGCTTCCCACAGGTCCTCACTGTCAAAAACGAAGAGAATATTTTATGCTTTATGCTCAGTCCTGATGGAAGGTGTTTTTTCTAAAATGACACATTTAGTGTATCCTAGTGAAAAGATCTGAAATGGGCACTAATTTTCACAACTGACCTTTACACTTTAGTGTACAATGTAACATCATGCCATTAATCAATGCCTTCCCTTATAGGTTTGTGTGAAAGTTATTCATCACTGACACAGGTTCAGTAAATTCAGGACCTGTTTGGATTTATTTGTCTTTCTGAAGGAAAATATACACACTACTTCAGCAAAATGCATTTCAAATAGAAATCCCAATCACTGCTATGTAGCTAGTTCAAATCTAGACGTAGGATTAGTGTATTTGCATGATGCCGGTTTATGTGTTTGCACTCATTAAAAGGGCTCATTTGTAAAAGGGAAGTGGATATCAA